TCTCTCTGTGTCTCTGTCTCTGTCTCTTCCTTTTACCACCTTTTACAACCCACCTTAATTCTAGTAGTAGGATAAAGCAAAAGCAAAAACAGTTTAGTGTTTTCTGAATTGACACTTTGACCTTTTGACCTCTTGACCTTTTGACCTTTTCCCTCTCCCCAGAATCGGAGCGAGTTGACCCGCCCCCTGTCCGCCATGTTATGTCCACGTTTGGAAAAACTGCTGGGTAAGCTATCTATCTATCTATCTATCTATCTATCTATCTATCTATCTATCTATCTATCTATCTATCTATAAATCTATCTATCTATCTATCTATCTATTTATTTATCTGTCTGTCAGTCTGTCTGTCTGTCTGTCTGTCTGTATGTCCGTTTGTCTGTCTGTCTGTCTACCTATCCATTCATCCATCCATCGATCTGTCCACATTTGGAAAAACTACTGGGTAAGCTAACTTTCTGTGTCCATCCATTAATCTATTTATCTGTCTATCTATCCATCTATCCATCTGTCTGTCTATGTATCTATGTACTATGTATCTATTTATCTATCTATCTATATGTCAGTCTGTCTGTCTGTCTATCTATCTATTTTTCTCCACCCCCACCTCTATCAATTGTTGTCTATGATAGGTAAATCGGAGTAACTGGCAGGTTCTTCTTCTTATTTCTGACTCTGTTATGTCAATCTTACCCCCCTCCCCCTCCCTCTTTTCCATTAAAGACCATCATGATCACCATGTTGACATCACTATCAAGTACCAGATCTGCGGCAGACATTGGCGATCATGGTACTCTATTCATTTGTGAGATGTTCTGACAAAATGAGTTACTTCTCACAGTGGAGATATTAGCCAAAAATCGACACTAGGGCCAAATTTGTAGATTTTCTATTGATGTCATATTCAAAACATGCCTTATATTATTTCATACATATATATTGTAAAAAAGTTCACCTCTAAGCGTGATGTAGCGATTTCCATAGGGCTCGAATCCGAGAAGTAACTCATTTAGTTAGCACCCTTCACATTTATTTGCTCTTAGGTGTACACATTTCTCAGGTATTTGAACTCTACTGCGTCTTTAATTTTAGCTGTTGTCGACTTCAACACTAACACTAACAATTGGTCGCTTTTAAGCACAAGGGGGCTATCCCGAAAAATGCCGTTTTGAGGAAATCAAAGGTAACGTTTTTTACCCCTAGTTCAGTTTCTTTAAAAGACAAGGAGAGTTTTCTCTGTAACCAAACAATTAATATACACACCAGTGAAACCAAACTTCTCCTACAGGTAGGACAATGCCTACTTTTGGTATAGGTCAGGATTCTGGAAACCCCAGAAATCTGGGTTAGCCCGCTTGTCCTTAAAAGCGACCAATTATGATAACAGCTGACCAGTCCAGTTTCTCATTCCATTGTGTTTCACTTTCTCTCCCACCTTTCAGCCATCCCCAGAGCCAGGAGACGTCCGGCAGCAGACCGAGGTCCCGACCACCACCTCCACCCCGGCCTGTGGGTCACCAGGCCAAGACCGGACCCCTGAAGGCTGACCACAGTCTCTTAGCGTCATCCAGCGACAGGTTAGTTGGGTGTTTCTTAGAGCTGGGGACGATGGAGAGGTTGTTGTCATCGATATTGTCATCATGTTTATCATGATCAGTATCATCATCATCATCATCATCATCATCATCACCATCATCATCGTCATCGTCATCATCATCATCAATGCCACCATTATCATCCCCATCATGAGCAACCTCCTGGTTTTTCATCACAATCATGAGCATGATATTTTCTATATTTCTATCATCATCATCTTTATTATCCTTATGCATACGTCCTCCTATGTCTGCCCCCCCCCTTCCCCAACAAACACACAAACACACCCACTAGGGAGATACCACCTCCTGGCTTTTCATCACCATCATGAGCACGATATTTTCTATATTTCTATCATCATCATCTTCATCGTCATCATTATCTTTATTATGCCTTATACATACGCCTTCCTATGTCTTCTCTCCCCCCCCCTCCCACAAACACACCAGGGAGATACCAAAATGTTGTATAATGTGTATTCTGCTCCTCCACCTCCTCCCATTTACACCCACCAGGGAGATAGCAGAGATCAGCCAGCGAGCGGCCAACGCCCTGGTCAAGCCGACCAAACCCCAGCCCGCCGCCCGCCGCTCTAAGTCGGCCGTCACCGCAGGGTCCTCGCGGTCTGACCCCGATGTGGACGACACCGACCCCCGCTTCGACAGCAACAGCAATAACAACAGCCACAACAGCTTGACCAGTGGTCAAACCCCGCCCCTCTCACACGCCGGAGAGAACTCCTCCCTACACCACTCCTTCTCCTCCCAGCAGAAGGAAGGGGAGGAGGAGGGGGAGCAACATCACGCCATCAGACCCCGGTCGTCCTCCCGACGTAGAGCCTACATCATCAAACGTCCGGAGAGCGCTCCCTTGTTTGGCCGCGTCACGCCTAGGCCCTTCACGCCCGACCAGGACAAGGCTGGGCCAGGTTCCGGCGATGCGGGAGGGTCATCCGAGGAGGGGGTCAGTGGCGGAGGGGGAGGAGGAGGCGGGGGAGGGAGCGGTCAGTTGAAAGGTGCTAGTCCAGATGGGGCCGAGCGTGGAAGGAGATCAAGGCCAGTTGTAAGGCCGCCTTCTATTAAAAAGAATTCTACGTCAAGTGCAAGCCTTCTGCCTAAAGTGCCTTCCCTTACGGATAAAAAGTCTACGCCAAACGTCGACGTAAAGCTGGAAGGGTCTTCTGGTGTTGATAACTTTGAGAACTCTTGCTCTCCGCCCCCCTCTCTGGGTTCAGACACCTTGAGCTCTGAGACTTTGGTTGTGCCTTCCCGTGTAGATATCACCCACATCTCTCCTCCACAGACTTTGGGTATGGACAACAACCTTTACTTTAGCAGCTCTGCTCTTTACGAGAACAGCGGGAAAAGTAATAGTGGTAGAGATGGTGACGGTGACGGTGACGGGGACGAAAAGGGAATCGATAGACGAGAAGTCGTACACGTCACGCACACGGAGACAATCGTAATCCCCTCGCCGAGGTCAAAGTTCACCTCGAGTGATGCAGCAACCTTCACCTCCACCACCACCACCAGCATTAGCAGCAGCAGTAGCTCCCCGAGTCAGCAACAGCAACAGCAGCAGCAGCAGCAGCACAGCGAGGTAAAGTTCTCGGTGTCCGTGTCTCCCGAGCTGCGGAGAGTTCAGCAACACCACGTGAGTGACGTCACCAACCAGCAGCAGACGACGACAACGACTACGACGACGACAATACCAAACGTGGACTCGGACACAGACTTCCTGCCCTCGGAGGACCAATGTTCCACAGCACGAGACGATGCTCCGACTTTCAAGAACGAAATCACCCTGAGTCGGCCCAAGGAGAGCTCACTCGAGCGGGTGTACGGGCGGGAGGGAGGGAAGGAAGGGGAGCAGGAAGAGCCGGAAACTCATCATTCTGAGCTGAGATGGAGCGTCAGCAAACTGCCCCAACCTTCAGTCCCCGCCATCGACATTGAAATCACACAGAAGTCGAAACAAGAAGAAAGTTACAAACAGACTGGCTCAGAAATTGGCGGTCGCGGGCTAAACCGTACGGGCCGGTCAAGCGGGGACATAGGCCACAGTGAACAGGACAGTAATGTCCAGATTGAGACAGACTTTAGTGAAGATGACGTGTTTTCCCCCGAGGTAAGGGCTGGCGTCACTCCTCTCTCGTCTGCAAACACTGGACATTCTCCTGGTGGTTTGGAGGAAGACGAAGAGGAAAGAGAAGATACTTGCATTTCGGTAGATAAAGATGTTTCGGGTTTGAAGAATATCGTTAGGGAAGATGATGAAACAAATGACAGAAAGCAAAGTGAAGGTGATGGAGAGAGCCCTCGTGAGGGAGAAGAGGGAGCGGAGGGAGAAGAGGGAGCGGAGGAACGTCTGGACTCGAGCTCACGGATGCCTGGCCATGTGGAAGCTGGTGTGTTCATCCCCTCGCTCCGGCTGGACAGTCTGGTGGGGGAGGACACGCTGAGTGACACGGACCGGACCAACAGTCAGAGCACTGGTCACACAAACTCCATGGCTGAGGTAGAGTACGTGAATGTCAAAACCCTCACACCTCACCTCAATGTTGCGACTCTGGAAGACCACGATGAGGCTCCTGAGGAGGGGAACGATGAGGAGAAAGAGGAAGAGGAAGAAGAGGATGATATGAAGGAGAAGGAGAACGTGAATAACACACAGCAACAGCAATTATCATCTGGATTAGAAGACGTGGGTGTTCCAGGAAAGTTTCCTATTTCGGACCAGTTCAGCACCGCTGATTCCAGAGAAGACGTAGCGATATCTCCTGATGTTACAGAGGAGATCAAGTTTCCCGGGAATGGAACAGATGACCGTGTGGTGCTCGCTCAAGAAGTCGTACAGAATGAGATAAAGTATCCCGTGTTTTCAAGTGTTCCTTTGAAAACTCTTCAGAGCGCTCACGAAGAACAAAATAATCCATCGCCAAATTCTGATCTATCTCCTTCTCGAGACGAGACTCACCAGGAGAAAGATTTGATAAACGCGTCGTCAGGGCAACCGCTGGTTGATGCAGACGCCAGAGACGTGTTGTCGTCTGCGTCTGATGACCACGAGAGTGGCGAGTACCACCTGGACGGGTCTGACCACGTGGCGGAGAGTGAAGGGGAGGATGGTGACCACAACTTTGACCACGGTGGTAACGTTCACGCGGACTCCCATAACGTCAAACTCCACGCGGACTTGAAGAAAAAGTTAAGCTCTAAGGGTTTGTTCGAGTCCCTCCCCGGAGTTGAGGAAGAAGCTGGTGCTAGCTACAAGGTCAAGCCCAAAAAGAAAAATGCCTTTTCTAGATTTTTCGCCCGGAAAAAAGGCAAGTACAACCCCTCGGCAGATCTCGACATGTCCTCTTCGGTGTTACCTTCTCCGAGTTCAGAGAACGAGGATCGAAAGAAAAAGAAGAAGAAATCCTCCTCCTCTTCCTCTCCGAAGTTGTTCAGTCTGAAGGGCAGAGACAGATCCAGGGAGAATGAACATATGGGAGCTGAGGAGGAGAAGAAGGCAGACAACTCCTCATCTCGAGGTGGCAGCAAGGCTCCCAAGCACGGCGGACTGAGCAAAGACAGCATCGTGGTGATCAAATCTTCGGGCAAGTCTCTATCTGGCGTCACGCCCGATCTGAGTGCTGTTGGCTCCGCTGGGGAGGAGAGTGTGGATCACGTGACGGCGGATTATAAACCAGGTGGTCAGGGTGGGGATGAACAGGACAAGATTGAAGAGAGTGTTGTTTATGGAGAAGTGCCGCAGGAGAATGACAGTGCACCGTTAGATATTAAGGTCAATACTACTAAAATACCTCAAGATACGTCCGTCGAATCGTCGGACAATGATAAATTCAAAGACGTTGTTCCAACTGAACGCACTGAGGGCGACACAGAATGCGTGGACGCTGGTCCAGGTAAGAGTCCAGAGCCGTTGTACGCCAATGTTTCTAGTTCGCCTCACTCATTCGACGATGGCGCAGGTTCACCGGACGAGATAGAGAGACAGGGTGTGAGGAAGGATGACGCAGCGCTAGCAGTCCTCACAGAAAATGTAGACTCTCCTCTGGTGTTCATGAGCTCTCCAAAGAAAACTGCCGATGAACGCGAGCAGGGAGATTGTAGCAAGATCGACGAAAAGTTGAACAAAGTGTACGAGGAGTCGACTAACTTCCCGATGTTTGAGGTACCGTCAGTAACAGAGTCTGTGGCCAGTGGCGATATAATGCCGTCAAGTGTGAGGGTGGAGCAAAGTTATGACGTCACTGTGTCGGAAGGAGAGGACTCTGAGCACAAGAGACTGGGGCCACCTGGTGGGGAGGGAGTTGAGGTGATTCCTGTGCTGAGGAGCACTTCTGCTGAAGAAATAAGTGAGCCTGATCTCTCTGAGATGTCTGGCAAGATGGATGAGGATATCACCAGTTCTTCGCTAGCCTCCAACAGTCTGGATATCGCTGTCGGGCTGATAGATCAGCGGGTTGAAAGCAGCAGTCTCCCTTCACCAGGTCACGGAATCGATGACGATAATCAAGATGAAGATGACGACAATGACGTTGTTAAATTTTCCATGAGAGACGAAGGAAGCAGCCATGAGGAGTGCAGGCGTGCCAGTAAACTAAGCGCTATAGAAACCACGGAGTCGGACGAGGAGCTGGACGAGGGCCTAGTGGACGCCGCCGACGACTTCCCTCTCAGACGTCCGAAGTACGCCACAGCGGGACCAGGTGGGGGGCCGGGGGCTCCTGTGCTGGGCAGGGACAGTCGGTACTGGGACGACAACAAGTACGCTGATGACGGAATCCCCTGTGTGATGCCCAAGAGTCCTGGGAAGCCCAAGTACAAACCCAGGAAAGATCGCGTGGAGTCTGGGGACGTATCTCTGGAGCCGGAGTGTTCGTTTGACGAGAGTTTCGATACCCTCACTCCGAGAACTGCCGATCTTGCTGACGAGAGTTTTATAGAACCGGAGATTGGAGGATCGTCAGAGGAAGCGCCGCTTGTCGAGAGGGCTGCTACAGATATTGAGCCGTTTGTCGACACTCTGGTTGAGGGAGAGCATCTTGTGGGCGGCTTGAAGAGGTCTCCGAGCCAAGTGGTGGTGCGTGCTCTGGTACACACTTCGTCCCTCGACGACAGTACGGCGGATGAGAACGAGGCTGATGCCACCCCGCGCCGCTCGCACAGCCCTCTAACCTCTCCCGGCGACACACAAGACGATGATGATGCTTGTTCTGTTGAACCTGAACCTGAAGATGAAACTATAAAGATTGGTGGACTGTCAATTTCCGGGGGTGAAACTGTGGAGGATCAGCGTCCAATTCTACCCCCGGCCTTCAACTACGTTCCAAAACGTGAGGTGGACGACAAAGCAGAGCGGTTGTTGAAAGAGAAGAGTGATGTACAAAAAGACGAGACCGACCAGAAAAAATCTCCTCAGCTTGGAGAGAGAGAAAGTGGGAGGCTCTTATTGCCTGTTGAAGACGAGATCATGAACAAAGTTGGAAGTGTTCCCGTCTTGTCGTCATCTCCTAGGGTGAACTCGGAAATACCCGATGATGATGACAACGGTAAAAGTGACAACGTTGATGAATTTGAGAATTCTGCGAATGTAGTCCTTCCACCTCAGCTGGAAAATTCCCCAAGTTACACGAATATAGCTGAAGTGCCAGCTGATTCAATGATACTAGATACAGATAAATCAGATTTTCCTTTAGTGGAAAAAGGTAAGCTAGTATCTACTTCATCAAGCGAGGGTAACGAGGAATCCCACAAAGACACAGGGATGCCTTTCTCTGACCATGACATGTCTTCTCCGTCCTCGATGTCGGCAAATGTCCCTGTGCCAGATAAGGAAAAGTCAATTCCTGCTTCTTTCAAGAACAATATGTTAGACGCAGAATCAGCAGGTTCGAAATCGCAAATAACAAATGGAGATGTTGCCGACTTTTTGAGGAAAGAAAATAATTCTGGGGTACTTACTGTTGGTGAGGAAAAGAGAAAGAATCCAGATTATTCCACGTTCCCCACTGTGAAGAAATCTGACGTCTACAAGGACCAGAGTCTTGTAGAAGAAGAGGTGATCACCGCCACCGCCAGACCAGCTGACCAGAGCGCCGTCCAGTTGTACAGGGCGGCCATTGTGAAGATGGACAAACTGCCGGCGGCGCCAGAACACGCCATGAGGCCCAAGAAGGCGGCGCCTCCCAAACCCAGACCGGCCTCCTGGAAGATGAAGGCCATGCTGCGCAAGTTTGACTCCGGCTCATCTTCAGAAGCCTCAACCCCATCGCCCACAAAAGGGCAACAGAGGCCAAAGTTCAAAAGTCAAATGTCAGAGGACAGCATCAACAAAGGTCTTATCGAAGGAGCTCTGAAAGAACTGGACGATTTCATCGATAACGATGATGAGTTTCAAGAAGAGCACGATAACTTCAAGAAAGATGCTCAGACCAAACGACAACAGAATGGGCCTGGCAACAACAGAAAAGTCACGAAACCTTCTTATGCAGGGAAACCTGAAGTTGCAGAGGAGATCTTTGTGAAGACCGAGAAACCAAAACCAACTGAATCTGCCAAACCGTTCCTCCCCGATCTTCTTCTCAAGCTAGAACAAAAGGAGCCCCCTGCAGGCAGACGTGTGGAACAAGATGTGGAGGAAGAAACGAAATCCAAAGTCTCATTGCCATCCCCTCAGAGGTCAATAGACGGAGAGGATCTAGAGGTTCCCGTGATCCGAGAGAAGTGCCACGCCCCGCCCGTCCGCTCCTCCGTCTCTGTAGAGAGTAACAAGTACGAGGACATTGTCGACTGGAACACGGAAAAGTTGTTTGAAAACGGCGCCTTTCCTCCCCCGGATGTGAATCGGTCGCAGGATGCGGTAGGTCAAGGTCACGAGGTGACCTTTGGACGTTCGGAAGACGATGAGGCTCAGGCGAGACCGGTTATAATTGATCTGGGTTATGAAGACGTTAAAGACAAGATTCCAGATAAGACTAAAGTCTTCGATGAGGTCACCGCTGACAAGAAGAAGACTGCCTCGCCCACTGCGAAAAGGTTTCATTTTCCCTGGAAGCGAAAAGGCAAAGACGAGAAACCGAAAGCAGGCAACAAAGAAAAAGACAAGCAGAAGGAGGCTGAAAAGGGGAAGGACAAAGGTAAGGCTCAGGGAGCTGTGAAACGAAACAAATCAGACAGTTCCCAGAAAGATAAAAAGAAAAAAGACGACAATAAATTCAAACTTGAAAAGGAGTCACATTCTGATTCTGGCGCAAAGGAGCCACCAAGTCCGAAAAAGGGAAAAGCGAAACAAAAAGAACAACCAAAAGCTGATAAATCGAAGAGCAAACAAGACGCGCCAAAAGGCAAGGCTGTACCAAAGACCGCCAAAGAGAAATTGAAAGCGCAGACGTCGATGTCATCTTTACCAGATGTCTACCACGAGATTGAGGAAAACGCCCTCGTTCCGGTGGTGAAGAAAAATCGCTCGCCGTCCGCCTCGTCCCGCTCCAGTGGCCCGTCCTCGTCCTCCAGCGAGTCGGACTACGAGGAAGTCGACTACAAGAAGGACGAGCATAATGAGCCGAGTACCAAAACAGACAGGGAGAAGAAGAGAGACACTATCCAGTCGGCAGACTCTAACGGTTATGAGATCCCCGCGAAATCGCTGCCACTTCTGCATAACTCCGAGAGCAAAATGAAGACTGAGACGCCTGGTCAGTTTCATGATGAGGTGGAGAGACTAGATCAAAACGATATTGACGATAACAGGGTGACACCAAGAGACAGTGAAAGATTTAACGCAGCAAAAGATAACGATGGAGAAGAACAAGACAATGGCCAAGCAGCTCAAGCGGCAAAGAAGGAAGGCAGCGATGATGACAACGACGTGATTTGTCCTTACTTGACCTTCCAGTACCCGCGGTTTCTGGACGGAGGAGAGATCTACGTGGACAGCCCCATCAACTCGCCCACGAGAAATGGAAAAAAGAAGAAACCAGGTGCCGCAGCTCTTGCCAGTCCTCCAGACACCGAGACGCCACCAGAGAGCGCTGAAAATGAAGATGACAAAGCCAAACAGCCACCTGCTACTTTCAGCGCAGAAGATCTAGGGAGTATCGGTTTCGCTTCCCCTTCGTCCAAAGACTCGCGAAGTCGCAGCAACTCGAGTTTGCCGGCCGGGTCGCCTGAGATGATGAGAAGGGACGACATGTCACTCTGCGAGGCGGTGTCTCTCGCGCTGCCTAATCTGTCGTCGAGCTTTGACAAGGGCAGAGACGACGAGAGTCCGAGAGACTCCCCTCGGAGCTACAGAGCTTTACCGGAAACTACGTCATCATCTCCGGCTTCTACTTCTGTCGCGAAGAGAAAAACAGGAAATCTTGGTGACACCGGGGCTGCTAATTCAATAGGGGCAACTGAGCAGAAAAATAACTTCACGCTTGACAAAAGTCCAGCTGGTGAGGCCTTAGATTTCAAAGGTTCTGGTAGCCTGGGGTCGTTTCACAACGATGACGCGGATTCTCCGTCCAGTACTGCTGCTGACGTGTTGGAACAGACAGAGTCTCGGGTAGACACAGACGTGCTGAACCGGCCCCCGGTGTCCGGTGAGGACCAGGCCAGGTGGAGAATGGCGCTCAGCCAGGGCGCGGGGTCTCTGAGTCAAGACAAGACTTCGTCTGTTTCTTCCTCCTCTTCTTCATCTTCGTCGTCATTGGAATCTGATGATAACGGCAGTGGTGGCAATGTCTCTGAAAGCAAAGGGACCAAGCTGAAAAACAAAGTCTTCGGCAAGAAACGAAAGGGAAGGGATGAGAAAGTGAAAAATAAAACTGATAAAAAGTCGAAACAAAAATCCGACGCGAAATCTCCTGAAAGGATGGAAAAGGAAAAGACAGAAAAGGAAAAGACAGAAAAAGAAAAGACAGAAGACGAAGATGCTAAGTCAAAAAAGAAGGTGGAGAAGAAAAAAGATCCTCAGAAAGTAGAGAAGAAAAATTCAAAGAAGGGACAGCTTGATAAAGATACAAAAGAACCTAAAAAAGTGGAAAAGAAAAATTCTGATAAGAAAGAAGATAAGAAAGACAATAAATGGAAGTTTGGCTGGGGCTGGAAGAGCAAAGATAAGGACAAAGGAAAAGAAAAGGGCCAAGATGCAGACAAGGAGAAAGACGGTGATTCTCCCCTCCCACCACGAAGAGATAATGAAGACAGAGAAGTCCCGAGTGACCTAAGTCCTTCAGTGGCCGCACGTGTTCACACACATCAAAGCCCGACACGGTCGGCTTTTGGTGGCCTCGGAGAAAGCACAGACACGTACAACAGCGGCGAAGACTCTCTTGTGACAGATCCTGAGATTTTTGCCACGTTTAGTGACCTACATAAAAGATCTGAAGAAGACAACGGAGACCCAGATCAAGAAGACATCTTACCTTATGGCGACGCTTCCTCTCAACCCAACCGCCCAACCGTCGTTGGAGAGAACAAGGTTCTTGAAAACGAGCCAGAAGAAGGCATGGTTGAGATGAGAGTGAGAGATGCTCTACCAGTATATGCCACAGTGAACAAACCGAATCTGTCTAAGTCTGTCTCTCTCGACGTCAGATCCGGAAAATCGAATAGAGGAAGACTGGAGAAGACAAAATCTCTGTTTTCCAAGGATTCGGATTCAGCCTTGATTCAGGACGAGCCTGACTCCGTCGCCAGGAGGAATATTGAAATTTCAGATCTTCCCGGAAAATTCTTCGATAATGATGACGAAGAGGACGAAGATGAGGAAAGAGAGGAAGAGGACGACAACAGATCTGTGACAGCACCTGACTTCAGTTCCCTGTTCTCAGACAGCGCGTCACGTAAAACCCCGAGGAGTGAGGATGTGGGTCATGAGGAAGACGTCTCAGAAAACAAGGGTGAGGCTGATGACGTATTGGACAGCAGTAGCCCAGGCATGAGACACCGCCCTAGTCTGACCAAAGACGCCGTGTCCAGTGTGTTCCAGCTGGCCCCAGCCGCCCAGAGCCTGTCACAACTTGACGACGACCGTTGGAAAGATTACTCACCTTTAGAGATTGGTAAACTCAGGCACTCGGGAAAGATGAAGAACACACCAAAGAACTTTTCGACGAACATTCCGACTGACGAAGATGGCGAAGACAAATCGGAACATCCATCGATATCAGACGAAAAGAAACTAGGCAGAAGAACTGGTCTAAGTGAGGACGTGAAGAAATCGCCGAGAGAAGATTCCAGGTCCCCGCCCGTGCCGCGAACGAGGGGGACAGTACGCCAAAGCCCTCCAGTTGTCGAGCTCTCCGACGATATGTCCGACTTTCAGACACACTTCAGCAACATCTGGGGATCCGATCCCCCGCCGCCTGTTGAGAATGCCACTGATGACACAGGCGACAAAGACAGAAGTGGTGAAAAGCAGCTCGACGAAGACAAATCCGATACGGAAGTTGTTTACGACGACGCTGTTTCTGTACCGAACAAACTGATAGAGAAGGAAGAGGAAGTGTACACTGACGCCAGAAGCTCACCGCTCATCAAACCAAAACAAAGGTTGTCCACATTTGGCAGCGAACTCCTCAACATGGCCGGTAACGTCGTGATACCGTCGAAAGAAAAACCCGCGAAACCTGGTCGAAAAAATATCTACGTGGTCACAGACGGCTCTTCGCAAGACGACACACGGATTGACGTCAGCAGCCAGGCAGATGGTGGTGGGGAAGCTTCTCCACGTAAGGATGACGTGACCGACAGCGAGGAACCGACAGAATACGACCAGCTGCCCATCCGGGTGAGGAAGATCAGCTGCAGCCGCACGTCCTTCCAGCCCGTGGTGCCCGTCCCGGTCAAGGCCATTGTGTCGTCTCCCACTTCTGCCAGCAGCGAGGAGTCGCGGCCTGTGATGTATTCTTGTGTGGAGAAACCCGAGAAGACAACGACGACAGCAGAGAGGGAGGCTACTGTGAGTGAGAGAACTGAGTACGCCTTACCCTGGGAGAAGAAAGACCTGGCGGAAGTTCTGACGCCAAAGCTACCGCCTAGACAGTATAACAGGTGATGTCCTTTCCTTTTTTTCTTTTTTTTTGGGGGGGTGGGGGT